GAGTACATAGAATAAATGAAGAACACTAATTTTGATTATATAAATCGAATAAATCGGGTATCGCTATCAGTTGCCATACAGACAATTTGATTTTTTCTTCTTGGAAAATTGCATGGGTATAATTCAATTTTTTGTGGCGTCCTTGGTGTTAAATCGATTATCTGTGCAATACTAATTGACACAAAATGGTGATGCTCCAGCCAACAATGGTAGTATCATAATCAACTGAACGTTGCGAGCGAGCGGACATTTTTTCAGATGATTTGATGATTTGAACCAATTTATACTAATAACACTCATTGATTCGAATCCGATAGAAAACAAATGAGATTATTTTTTCACTGAGCATTGACTAAAATGGCTACTTCGATGTTTTTCTTTCGTAGTGTTTCATTTCAGTTGCACGCATCCCCATGAAAATTTAAAGCACTCTCGTATCCAATGCAATCCTATCAGGAATCCCATGTATTTTTTCATCCTTTCTTTATTTTCGTCATAATGACACACTCAAAAAAAAACTCTTCAATTACATTATTTTTAAAGGCAAGCATGGTAAAATAAAATGCATCTGAATGAGTGTCGTTCCCCCTGGTTCTCTATGAAGTTCATAGAGTGTTTTAGTGAAGCTCTTCGAAACATCTTTAAATACATCCAAAGACATTTGAAACAGTGTTTCAAACTCGCTCAGAAATAAAACAGAATAGTCGAGCAGTTGCAAATCTGGTGCAAACTAGTGCTCGAATAATGAAACTGCAACTCAGCATTGCGAGAGGTGCGTTTCTGTTCTAGTTTCAAAATGAAACAGTATGTATGTATGTATGTAAGGTAGCCACCATCCCTTCAAAGATCTTGTCTTGTATGCAGCTCCACTTAATAGCAAGATCAATTTGAGTCACCGATCTGAATTCACAATATCGCTGTATGAAGGGCCAAAAACGGAGGGGCGGACCCGTAAGCAGAGACACTTACGCGAAATCCACGGGAATTTAAGAATCTCCTTCCAACGATACGATCCAACAAATCGAATAACACAATTCGCAATACTTATTAAGCTTCCTACAGGATGGTTTGTAAAGAAGGGTGCGTCAATCTCACTGAAACTGTTGAAGTAGAATTCACACCACCACAATCGAATCGGTAGGATAAAGAAAATGATAGTGTTTATTCCCTCCTAGACTCCGGTTGTCATACCACTCCATCGTCCAGTTTCAGGTCAAATGATACCCTGATGCTCCCTCCCAACCCAGTATTTATTTATATAATGAAAATATATGTAATGGAGAAATGAAATAAATCAGAACATTATATATGAAATAGTGAATATAAATTTATATGGATAGAATAGTTGATATTATGCAATGAAAATAGTAAATATTTTAAATATAATAAGATGCAGCTCTTTGTTTCCTCAGCTCACAATATGAGGTGGATGTAACACTGAAATTTCAAGGTTATATTAAGCAAATTTATATTTTTATCTCTAATTATACTTGATATTCTCTCCTTACAATAATGTAAGGATGTAAATGTAAAGTATGATGTATAACTAACAGGACAAACAATGAAATGGGGACCTCATCTAAATGAAGCCATGCTTAATGAGAAATAACCTGTATAAAAAATAAATTCATATAATGTTATGTATTGTTGTTGCTTCCACTGCTTCATCCGCTTACTTTTAATTTCGATATGTTATGCAATACAATATAATTATATAATTGTTCCAATATTAGGGTTAGATAGATATTGTAGTCTGCAGAAGGTTAATTATTTTAATGCTTGTCTTTTTATGATTTATCAACGAAGAGCTGAAATAAACATCAATAATTGATATCGATGAATCCAGTATTTCAGATATGCTTTGGATTTCAATAGTCAGGATCCACATCTAGGGCAACTGATGAACCTGTATTCTGCAATTTGATATTTCAATCGAAAGAATCCAAGGATGGGATACGATATAGACACATCTTATATGATTTCATGTTATATAGAAGCATTTAAAAACAACAAAAATTAAATGAATAATATTAATTAGGGTTAGATCCCGGTATTAAAAAAAAGAAAAAAGAAAAACTAGAGACGTGTTCCCAGAATCGATTCTATACTACAGAAGCATGAATTAAGCTAGTGAGATAATACGATTAAGCGAAAGACTTGGCACCGTCGAGCATAGTATCATCAATAAAAATAAATTAATATGAACGCATGAAAAAAAAATTACTGCTGTTGTTTGCTCATCTGCTCAATAGCTTGATTTCAATTACTTGTAAAACATAAAAATAAAAGCAAAGTGACCACCCCTCCCATGAGCGACAAACGCTTATAATATTTATATGGTTACTCTGCTCAACGACGTGGGAACACAGGGAATCATCTATGGAACAGCTCCAGCACTTGAGCCATCACTCGGGTATGGCACCTTTTGTTAGATATTGTTCATTAAAATGATTTATGAAAAATATGAAAAAACAGTTTAACCAAAAATTTACAATGTTTAACCAATTACACTTTTATTAATTTTACTCCCCATCGATCATTTCATTTGCACTCTCTCGCCTTGCATTAGTTTACGGTTTTCTTTCGCTTACCCACATTCCTAAATGAAATCATCCGAGACTATACATATCAAGCTGAACACTGCACCAGGTCCCATGCAACCTCGACCGATTCTCCTCGTCCACCCCCTCTCTCGTTAACAACCCGAGCACAAAACCGTTTCTTGTTGTGTTTGTCATATAGATCTCCAAGCGCAATCCCACGAACACTTAAATCGAACATCCATGTATAAAAATGAAGAGTTAGAAGAACCAAAAAGGTATCGCTATATCACAACTACTTAGGCTGTGAACCATTTGCCGAGTTTAATTTAACTCGTGGTTAAAAGTGACATTTCGAAAGTTATTTTCTATGTTCGAAAATCCCCGTACTGTCGATCGACCGGTTTTCGAGCCACGGTTGTCAAAATTTAACTTCTTGTCTGTCAGAAATAACCATGCTCGGATAGCAGGGTTAATCGATAACTTTTCATCTGTCAAATTTTAACCAAAAGTTAAAATAATCCACCAAATGGTTCAGAGCCTTAAAAAGGTAGCGCGCGGTCTTACGCACACTTTTGTGCATCTGGAGAACTCTATACCAAGGTGACTACATGCTCTATACTATATGCTAGACAAAAGCTTCTTTAATACATATATTTTTTTGCTCAATAAAACTCACCACCCAACAGGTTGCTCCTTAGTCATGCAACCTGCAATACATGTCTGCCACTACATCTTTCGGTGAGTAGCTTTAACATGCACATCGACATGAAATCAAGCCTAACCCTTCACCAGGTCCCAAGCAGCATCTCCTCGTCGACTTTCTCTTCCGTTAAAAACTTGAGCACGTAGCGTATTACATGCTAGATGAAAGCTTCTTTTATCGATCAATGTATTGAAAATAGCTGGGAATGTCTTAACATGGCCGTGGGGATGCAAAGAGAAAGTCAACGAAGAGAATCCGTCGATGCCACCTAGGACCCAATGCTATGTCCAGCTTGAACTGTCGACAGACACATGGCAATGTTGTCAGAAAACAGCCAAAAATTAAAACAAAATATTGAAATAATAGTGATTGTGATGATTGTAACATATAACATTATTTGAGAGTATTCACATGACAAGAAAAAAGAAAATAATAGTGAACCTCTTTAATAATTATCAACAGTTATAGCGATTTAAAAGTACTTATCCTTTCATGTTAGTCGATATCCTGGTAGCACTGGGAAATTCACCAAAGAGCTTTTTACCACTGTTTCTGGTCCGCTGCTCAACACCACAAAAGTTTGAAATCGCCTTCGTATTTATTACTAGTCGCCTCAAGTGATTTACACAAACACACACACCCTTGAGTGTATCGAATTCATAGAATTTTCACACCACGCACTTCACAAACGGCAGCAATTTGATTTATTTTCAATAATTTTTAAAACTTGGATAATCAGCCTATACGCTTTTTCAAGGCAAAACAAACATGTCGATTCGTAACACATTCCACCGATTTACAGGTCAATAACACTTTCTTTCTTTCTAAACACACTTTTAAACAGCGAGAATGAACGTAATACACATCCGTATGCAACAAGCATCACGAGCGAACTGTTCTAGTTTCAAAATGAAACAGTCCTTATAAAATACAACAGCATTGCGAACGGCCTAAGGCTGTGAACAAGTTGCCGAGTTAAATTCAACGCGTGGTTAAAAGTGATATTTCGAAAGTTATTTTCTATGTTCGAAAATCCCTGTGCTGTCGATCGACCGGTTTTCGAGAAGAACTTAGCCAAGGAAGCTGCCTTCCTGCACATTCGATTGCCTTCAATGGATGGCAACCGATGTCCGTCGGTGATTGGCACTAGATTGCGGAACAGAGACCGACGTTAAATAAAGGAAAGAAGAAGTAACTACGCTCGGATAGCAGGGTTAATCGATAACTTTCCATCTGTTAAAAGTTAAAATAATACCCCAAATGGATCAGACCCTAAATGACTTTCATATAGTGCCGCAATGATGTTGAAAAAATTTGAATGTTTGACCGGAACTGAATAAAAATGAAGTGCGCAGCAACATTTTGCAAAAATAACGCGAAGACAATTATATATCACAATCACATCCAATGATAACGTTGCTGCCAAATTGGGTGATCTTATGAAAACAAACTTGTTGCATTAACTATTTCTTAGCTCGGTCCGAACGGCTGCAACCTACATTTGATGTCAGAATTGAGATAGATATTGATAGGTCGCATGTTTCTAGAATTTCTCGAAGTGGGCTGGAATCAACGCATCTTTGAGAACCGCTAGGCACTCTACCGATTCTCAAATCCCCAAGACAGTCGAAACGGACCCATCATGCCCTGGACCCTGTGATCCTGCAATCATCAATCTAATTATTTGAGACAAAACATTGTTTATTATATACTGCTCACTGTGTACAAATAAAAGAAATATTATATATAATGATTTTAACCAAAAAGTACGACTCAAGATATCTTACCATCACGCCAACTAATCACTCTACAGCTTGAAAGTCTCCGTTTGCGAAGTTGTTCCATCGTAGACAATCGTATTATCGAACGGTTTATACTGCTTGGTGATGAGCTTTATCAGTTCATGGGCAATGCACCCTCCGAAGAACGCCGAAATGCTGTGAATTTCCGCACCTCCATAGCGACAGATTTCGTGGGCCAGATCGTCGCTAATCGGAGTGTTGATGCCCCATTCGTTGATCATCTTCGCGGCAATGCTCTTGATTCGGGAGGTGTCGCCCTCTACCTGACACTCGCCAGGCAGGTAACCGTGCTCGGCCTGAAACTTGTCCACCGCCCGGAGAGTCACGTAGTGAGCCATCAAGGAGTTGGGCGTTTCCAAAGCGGACGAAATTTGCGATGCCTTATACGCCTTATCGTACTCGTCGGAAATTTTCGATCCACGAACGATGGCCAGGTTGGCCGCTTCCCGGCAGAATAGACGGACATCTTTCTCGGTGATGAAATCGTTCGGCTTGTTCAACTCCTTCAGCAACTGGCGAGCCCGGCGATACACAATTTCGGCGTCGTGAGCAGCTTGCGAGCGGTAGACGTTCTGCAGGTTTATGTACGAGTTGGTATCTGCAGTCATGTCCGGTAGGACTCCCGGTAGCGGCAGCAGCCCATTGCCTTCGTTCTCAACAAAGTCCCTCAAGGCACGAGCCAAAATCCAGAAGGCATTGCTCTGAAATGTTAGGATCGTTATTAATTGACCACTTTGTGAAGCAGTTTTGGCGTGACTTTCTACCAGCGATTTCACAAAACTGGACCAACTAATTTCAATTTTTTTTATGAAACGCACAAATTGTGGCTACTTTTCTTGTGGTTCTAGAAGAAAAATTCTCAAAATAATGTTTCAATTCAAAGTTCGAGTGGTAGTAAACGTCATTTTAACTGCTCGAATGAAGTCATTAATTGTTGATCTCTACCATTGCTTGAATCATAACCAACGTACCTCTTTCCTTACGTTTGCACAGCTATCATCGGACAGGATTTCACTGATCGACGAACCCGGCTTTCCACCTCCGAAGCTGGAATTAACTGCTTTGATTGCTTCCTCGTAATTCTCCTCATCTGCCGTCATCTTCCTGCGGATCAGTTCCCTTAGTTCGGACTTCTCCTTATAATTCGCTGGATACTGTCCTCCGTGGTTCTCAACCCATTCCTGCAGGCTCTTGTACATCACCACTAGCCAAGGTACCTTTGTAGTTAGCTGCGTTTCGGCCATATGCTTCTTCAGTGCCTCGAACGGATGCTCCAGCCGGAGATCGCTCTGGCGACTGTCCGGGTGTGATTCAATCACACAGTGCTCCTTGACCTGCAGCCTTGCCACGCCGTAGAATCCAACCGATCGGCACACGACCAACGGAATGTGCTGGTCCCAGAGCAAACTCGACAGCCGCGAGACTGTCCGCTCGTTCACGGCCGTTGCCACAACCACATCGAAGTTCTTGAAGAAATCCGCCTGCGAATCCATCAGCTGGTCCACATTCTCGTCCACGTAGTCCCCGTTCACGTCGGGATTCAGTTCCTGCAGCAGTTGCATGCTGCTTTTGGCCCTCGATTGACCGAGGGAAGCCGAATCCAGAAAGAAGTTGCATCCGATGTCCTCCTCCGTGACGATGCCGCTGTCGACGATGGTAAACCCTCCGACGCCGGGCAAGACCACACCCTTGAGGATTTCCGTCCCCAGAGCCGTCGCATTGATCAGGCAAATTTGTGCATTTTCCAGCAGCGATTGACCGTGTTCGCCCCACAGTCTGAATCGAAAGGGATTATTATTTTTCGGAGCAGCAGCCGTTTCTGGGGGGGGGGGGGGGGAGGATGCTTACCTAATCTGACGGTCGTACTTACGGCTTTTGTCCGACAGTTCCGGCGATTTCGGTGCAGGTGAAGACATTCCTGAGCTGCACTTCTGGATGTATAGAGGAAAAACGTTCACGCAACAAGGATCCGGAAAATTTTCCGGACGAAAAAACACTCTTTCAGATGGTTGATGTTGATGATTGCAATTTTTGACAAAGCCGGTTGTTTTGACAGGGATAGGTGGATTTCCGTGTCTCGGACCAGTGAAAAAAATACATGCGTCGTTGAGCTGCTCGAATGAAACGACAAAATTTTCATAGTCCCTTTTTGGGATGCGGATTACCAATCAGCCAGCTGTCATTTTCGTTGGCTGATTTTTGTGTGTTTCCATCAGAAAGTTTTGTTCTGGTCGTGGTTGTGGAACGGACGGACGGATAGGAAAAAATAATAATCGGAAAAAAAATTGGTGCTATATTCGGGAAGAAAAACGAAAATCATTCCACTTTGTGTTGTGTTGTGTTTTATTGCTGCTGCAGTGTAATATAGAAATTTTATCGTTAGCGTTATCAGCAGCTTATAGTAAACAGCTGATAAATCTGTGTCTCTGTTTTCGCGAGCTTCGCAGAGGAGAATCGGTAAGCCATAGAAATTTCCTGAGTCTGCTGGCTGCAAGTTGAGTGTTCTATACTTTCCGAAGGATTACAAAGAGGACCTTGAAGAAGGAGGGCGTACGTTATTGAAGCAGGAAGCAGCAAACAGCCGGGTGAATCAGCTGTTACGACACGTCTTGAGCTTCTTGGAGCCTATTGTAGGAAGCAGCTGTCTCAGCGAGATCCGGAGACAGCTGGGAAGTGGGTGCACCAGCAGGGCAGGGGTGTTCGACGTAATCAGAATTTGTCATCCAACTTCCAGACGCGCTAGTGTGTGATTGTTTTAGTCACCACTCATACTAAGCAGAGTTAAGAGAAAAGGCAGAGGAAGGTACGTATTCGTTCTAACAAGACATCGTCTTCTCTGCTAGAGGTATAACGGAGCTTATCGGTGATTCATTTGTTTATATTGTGTTTTTGCGTTTGTTCACTTCGCCTTAATTGAATTAAAGTTTATTTCTGGGTGTTGCTTGCATTCACATTAGAGAACCAGTTTGTCTACGACGTTAGCGGGATTGATACGGAAAATTATTGTTTGATTATCGTTTCAGATGAGTTACTCTTCCTTTGAAAACAATGGGACCGGGTCCTCCACGATCACAAACGAGGCCGACTTCCAGAAGTTGGCCCAAACCATCGCCACCAGCATTCAGAAGATCCTGCAGAATGGTAAGCGATTCCTTTCACTTTGATTCGGCTGAATAGTTTCCTTGTAATTCCCTCCCCCCTTTTTCAGTCTCATCCATGCAGCGGATGGTAAACCAGTTCGGAACGGCACAGGATTCACCCGAGTTGAAGCAACAGCTGTGAGTTTCATGACAAACAAATGTTCGTATCACACTTATACCCCCCCATCAACAGGCACCAGATTCGGACGTACACCCAGCGACTGATCACCGATACGACCAACCTGCTGAACGATCTGGTCAACTGCAAAGAGCGGCACCTGAAAATCCAACGGGACCGGCTGGTGGACGAATTCACCGCCGCTCTGACGGCATTCCAAGCGGTGCAACGGAAAACGGTGGATCTGGAGAAGAATGCGGTCCGGCAGGCGCGAGGTGCCCACGTGGCTTTGAGCAAACCTCCGGGATCCAACCATTCCAGCATGGGATCCGGCGGCACCGGCAACAACTACAACAATGCGTCGATGTTCGAGGATAACTTTGTGAGCGGCCAGCGGGGCCAGACGCAAGAACAGCTGCAGGAGGAGATCGACCTGCAGGCGCTGGAGAACCAGGAGCAAACCATTCGGGAATTGGAGGTTTGTTGCCGATGATGAAGATGCTAAATATATCTACTGACTTCGTTGAACCGTTTCAGGAAAACATATTGAGCGTGAACGAAATCTACAAGAAGCTGGGCGCGTTGGTTTACGAGCAGAGCCATCAGGTAGACTCGATCGAGGCCTCTGTTGAACAGACGAGCGTATTTGTGGCCGAAGGAGTGACGCAGCTGAAGCAGGCCAGTCACTACCAGGTGAGTGGAGGTTTTCATGTTTTCTCGGATTTGTTATTTCTGGAGTGATGCGCCAAAATGGTTTATGAACTCTTAATTTCTTCACCTCCATAACATCATTAAGCTTCAACTTTAATTTCAAGCTCAATAATTCCTGAAGTCTGTGGAAAGGGGCTCAGTTCCAATACATTTCTTACAAACGAATTTTGAAGAAATTTTAGGAAACTGCATAGAATTTCAGTTAACTTTCTAGAAGAGCAGACACATTTGTAGTAGTTCAACCAACTCTGTAGAACTTCAGTGAACAGCGCGAAGGGCTGAGTTTCTTGTAGAAGTTAAGCAAATTTTATAGAAGTTCAGATAACATTCTAGATAGGGTAAATTATGGCTTCGGCACCTATTGACTGTTTTCGGCAACCGAAATTGAAACGTTTATTTCACTGTATTTTCCAATCAAAACTCTTCGCTGAATGTATTAAGCCGATTCCTTACCTTTTCAGCTTCAATCTGATCACATTTTTACGACTGTGAATTCCTGTTATACCATATTTGTCTTTAAATGAAATATACATACTACAAAATACGGCTGATTTCGAGTTGCCGATAATAGAACAGCTGGTTAACACGCAGTTCAAATGGAAAGGGTGCCGAAGAAAAAGAGACTGCCGACAATAGTCACTCTCACCTGAGAAGTTTGGAGCGTTGTAAAAACATGTTCAACCCGTTTTGATCAATTCTGCGATTGGAATTGGTAGAAAAGCAAGCAGCAGATAAATGTCAACAAACAAACCTGTCATGTATGTGTGTGACGCTGAGAAATCGCTAATAGAAGTTCGGACGCTGCTTAGATTGACGAGAATACGTAAATTCCCCTACTTTGTAAATAATTGGCGAACTTTATAGAAATATAGCACGCTGTGATATGTGCATGTTTGGAGCCTATTTTGCCCCAAAATCCCACAGTCTAGTAAGCGGTCACCGTAGTCGACACATTTTCTGTGATAATCGACTGCCTTTGTTTCAGACACTTGCAAAACAAGCCATCAAATTACAGTACTAAACTAAAATGTCATATGACAGGCTCTGTCATACGACACTGTCACCGAAGACCGTCACGTCACGAATGTATGTATTTTAGTTTTTTTCTCATAATAAGAGTTTCTGATGCTGTGCTTGTGTGAATTCTAAAAATAGCAAGCAACGATGTCCTAAAGGGTGTCCACGATGAAATTGCCACACTATGAAATTGCTCTAACTTTTTAACCGTTGGGTAGAATTTAATGAAAATTTGGGTGGATTTAGTTCATAGTGCATTATTTACATCCTGCAAGTTTTAAAGTCCTGTGATCAAAACTCGCGGAAATGGAGTCGAAAGAACAGCTCGTGCGTGATAAAATCTTGCGCATTCATCACGAGAACAAGGATCTCTCGCATCGTTCCATCGCTAAAACGTTGGGAATCGCGAATTCCACGGTGTCGCGAGTGATTAAGCGGTTCGAGGAACGGTTGACCACCGATCGGAAGCCCAGAAGTGAAGGAAAAAGTATTCCGTACAACACCAAAAATCACAACCGCGTAGTTGGGGCCTTCAACCGAAATCCGAACGCCTCCGTTAGGGATGTGGCTAAGAAGCTGCACCTAAGCCGAAGTTTTGTCCAGAAGGCCAAAACTAAGGCTGGGCTTCGAACGTTCAAGGTATAAAAGGCCCCTAATCGCGACGAGAAGCGGAACAAGTCCGCCAAAACCCGTGCCAGGAAGTTGTACCTCAACATGCTGACGAAAATTGAATGCTGCATCATGGACGACGAAACATATGTGAAGGCCGACTTCAAACAGATCCCCGGCAACCTGTTTTTCACGGCCAAGGATAAGTTCAGCGTTCCGGAGCATGTCCGCACTCAGAAGATGTCCAAATTTGCGAAGAAATTCCTGGTTTGGCAAGCCATCTGCACGTGCGGGAAGCGGAGTGCACCTTTCGTGACCCAGGACACGATGAACGGACAGGTGTACATAAAAGAGTGCCTCCAGAAGCGGCTGCTTCCTCTCCTGAAGGCCCACAACGTCCCAACAATCTTCTGGCCGGATTTGGCCTCATGCCACTACTCCAAGGACGTGCTGAAGTGGTATGCGGACAATAAGGTCAATTTCGTGCCGAAAATGTTCAACCCTCCCAACACTCCGGAGCTCCGCCCCATCGAGAAGTACTGGGCGATTATGAAGCAGCACCTTCTTAAACGACCTAAGGTAGTGAAGACAGTCGAGGAACTGAAGAAAGTATGGGTTTACATGCAAAAAACGGTTGATTCACAGGTTCTGCAGAATCTTATGGCCGGGGTTAAGGCCAAGGTGCGGGCATTTGCGTATGGACTGTAAATAAAATACGAGTAAATGGTAAAATGAAGTTTAATAGTTATTTCTCAATCCCTGAAAATTTGATGGCAATCGGATGAAAACTCGAATTTTGCGAATCAATTTTGTGTGTGGCAATTTCATCGTGGACACCCTTTAGTAATAACATTTATGATCAGAAATGGTTTAATTTACACCAAATTGAGGAAATATAACGAAATCACACATGTCATATGATAGTTATTTGAAAATTTTCTTTTTGCTCGATTGTTGTTCTACCGTTTGTGTTGTGTAAGAGAGACAACGTTAGAGCATGAGAGTACGAATACAAACAGACTGTCGTGCACGACAACGAAGTGAGTGTAGTAAAAAACGTCAACGGTTTAAATCCCTGACTGCAACAAAGTGTGGTCAGACAATGGCACGAATTTGGTAGGCCCTAACTGACAGTTGCAGGAATCTATGGGATGGCCACGAAGCACGTCAAGCAAGCGGAATATTTCTTCACCAACCTCGGACTTCGGTAGAGATTAATTCGACCGGCAAGCCCACATCAAGCTGGCATATGGGAAGTGACCGTGAAGAGTTTAAATGAGTTGCTTCGTACCGTCGTTGGAAATGAGAAACTTGTTTTGTTTTTTTTTTTGTCAAGGAGGAAATCTTCAAAAAGACCATCGTGCCACCACTTGACGACTGAACACACTCGCGGTGACACGGTGTGTGGGATTCTTACCGCCCTAAAACCTCCTTGGACGCCTTGCCCTTTTCCCCCTGAACCACTTGTCGTATTACTTCGGAGGGGGACGTGCATTACGCACCTCACTTTAACTCAGCTAATTGGCACTTCCAGTTCGCTGATCGTCTCTCTATTGTGAGCCATTTAGCTCTCAGTCACGTTCTACTCGGTTATCCCCGGTGGTGGATTCAGCCTACTCTGTCGGAGAGTTCTCCCGGCTTCGGCTTTCAGTTCGCACATTACTACTTTCTAGTTGGTCTTCTCGCCATTTTCGCTGCAGCGCTGACATGATCTGCGTTACTGCTCTGCTGACGGCGTTAAAGGTGCCCTCCTCTCGACACATTTCTTCGACGACATTCTCCGTGCTAAGGGCGAGCATATCCTCTCGCACATCATCAAATCTAGGACATTCGAAGACCACGTGCTCTGGTGATTCTTCCGCATTCGCACACTCCGGTCAGAAGGGTGACGTTGTGTGTCCGAACCGATGCAGGTACTTCCTGAAGCAGCCATGACCAGACAGAAACTGCGTCAAGTGGAAGTTGACTTCTCCATGCTTGCTGTTCACCCAGGTCGAAAGAATCGGTATTAACCTATTTGTCCATCTACCGTTCTCTGCTGCATCCCACTCCTGTTGCCACTTAGCCATCGACTCCGTTCTCACCATTTTTCGTACTCCTCTGGTTTCTCTCGTCATATAGCACTCGTAGTCCTCCGCCAAGGTGATGCCGATTGGGATCATACCGACGATAACGCATACTGCCTCCATCGAAATGGTTCTGTACGCACTCACGACTCGCATGGCCATGAGTACTGCTCAATTTTCTTTGATTCTGCTTCGTGTTCAGCGCTTCAATCCAGGCTGGACCTCCGTACCTTAGTATCGATGAGGACACACTAGCCAGAAGACGCCTCTTGCTGCTGCTTGGACCAGAATTGTTCGGCATGATTCTGGCTATTGCGTTGATGACCTTCGCCGCCTTCTCGCAAGCATATTCGATGTGGCTATTAAAGTTTAGCCGGTCGTCGATCATCACTCCCAGATACTTTAGCACGCGCTTCGAAACAATGGTGTGCTCTCCAACGGTGATTTCTGCCCGCTGCATTGCTTTGCAGTTACTGACCAACATCACTTCTGTTTTGTGGTGGGCTATCTGCAGCTTCGCTCCTTGCATCCAGTTACCAATCGTATCTATCGCCTCGGCCGCCAGCATTTCCACTTCTTCCAGCGTCTCACCGGTTACCGTCAAGACGACATCGTCCGCAAAGCCAACGATCTCAACTCCTTTGGCCTGCTTGAGCGTCAGCACGCCATTGTACATTCCATTCCACAACCTTGGGCCTAGAATGGAGCCTTGTGGAACTCCTGCCGTGATTCTAAGCGATTTCTTCCCCGTGTCTGTCGCGTAGACCAGGACCCGGTTCTGGAAATAACTACTTAGAATCCTGCAGAGGTAGTCTGGAACCCTCATTCTATGGAGCGCCTTGGCGATGGTCTCCCAGCTGGAGCTCTTCACATCAATCGTAATCACGGCGCAGTATCGATTTCCTCTCCGCTTCTGTTTGGAAGCTTTCTCGGCTCTGTCCATCACTGTCCGAATTGCATCTACCGTCGATCTCCCTTTCCGGAATCCAAACTGCCTCTCCGACAATCCGTGTTCACTCTCCGTGCATTTCGTCGGCCTGTTCAGGATGATCCTCTCCAAGAGCTTTCCGACAGTATCCAGCAAGCATATTGGCCTATACGATGCAGGATCCTCTGGCGGTTTTCCGGGCTTCGGCAACAGCACAAGCTTTTGTACCTTCCACCTATCAGGGAACTGACCCTCGTCCAGATATTTCTGCAGCACCATCCTGAGTTCCTCGTTGGAGACTTGTTCAACGTTGTCTTCATCTACCTCGCCATATGGTGTAGGTGGCCAGTTCGTTGGGTTAT